AAGTAAACAGTACTTGACCTTCTCATCCCAAGCTTCTTGGCCACATTTTTGAGTGCATTTGTACTATTGAGCTGCCATATGGGCAGATTGTTCCTCGTATCCGAACCAATTACTCATGAATTACTAATTCAATAGAGGTTATAGACTAGAATAAGCAAAATAAATATTCCATAAACATTAGAAATTGTTCAATATATAACTTGTTACAAAACAGTTTCCAATCATTAAAAGGATATTCATACTTACATCTGCCATGATACTCAAAAAACTATGACTTGGCAGCCCACTGAAAAGCCAAAATGATAATATGTTTAGAAAAGATAACCTGTTCACCTTTAAGGTGATATCAGACTCTTTGCTGTTTCTATTGCAAGCAAAACATAGCTACTGGGGCTGCACAATGATCTGGATTCAAAGGTAAAAAATGGTTTGGGAGGTTAGATGGCCCATTGAGATGCTTTTTTATTGTTTTGCCTAAGTTTATCCTTGTCAGGCTTGTAAACAATTACCCTTTGTTAATTTTTTTCATTTTTTAAATATGCCGTAAAACGTGTGGGCATGCATAATTGTTAATACTACCTTAATTCAAACACACCTTTTTCTGGGATCCACTGTAGAAGCTCATGTGGAGGTATAATAAAATTAAATACACATACCAATATATTTAAGTATGATCCTTTATGAAGCTAATAGACAGGATTATATTTGTATACTTAATGCCTATATTTGACCCCAGGCTGGAGACAGTTAAAATAAACCAAACAATTTTCTTTCTAGGCAGGAGAAACTAAAAGGTGACTACAAAATAAATAATGTTGTTTATTGTACATGTCAATATCCAGAAGGCTACTACAAGTGTGCAACTTAACAGGGGAGTCAATTTAATGACTTATCAATCTATTCCAGAAGGGTTGCAGTGTAATTGTATTGGTTCTTATATCTTTCTGTGTCAAATGTATTTGACCAAATATATATAATCTCTCAATATAGAAGTGTTGCACTTGGGACCCTCTCTCACTCTGTCTGCACAATCTATTTCCAAATTCCATTTGCACTCTAGCTCCCTGTAAGCACATTCTATCTTCAAATACTTTGGTTTCTAATTTGAGTGGGTGGTTTTTCCACAACATTCAGGAAAATATGTATTGCCCACAGATGCAAAGTACATGCCCTCACAGTCCAACTTTTTTTTCCCCTTTGAATTTGGAGATCCCTACAGATAACAGCAAACATCAACCCAATTACGAAGCACAGAGAAACGTCAGTGACCACGTCCACAGGGATCACTTCCATGATCATGCAAACGGAATAACTTTTCCAGTGGTGATGCACAGCTGTGAAACAATATTTCTGAATTCTGGATTTGGAAAAGTCAAACCTATGGTGAATTCAAAGACCAGTTAATTTTGAAATAAATAAAAGAGTACTGAATAGGTGGTTATTATCACTTGGCCAATTTTCTCTGGGCTCTACATTGGATCTTTTGCCAAAAGATCTATGAGTGAGCTGCTGGTACAGTTCTACAGAGGAATTATTGAGTCTGTCATCTGCACCTCTATAACTGTCTGGTTTGGTTCTGCAACCCAACAAGACAGACACAGACTTCAGAGGATAATTAGAACTGCAGAAAAAGCAATTACTACCAACCTGCCTTCCATTGAGGATCTGTATACTGTACGAGTCAAAATGAGGGCTGTGAAAATATTTACAGACCCCTCACATCCTGGACATAAACTGTTTCAACTCCTACCCTCAAAACGATGCTATAGAGCAGCGGTCACCAACTGGTGGTCCGTGAGAAAATTTTGGTGGTCCGCAGAAAAAATATTTTTTCTGCGGACCACCGCAGAAAATTTTTTATTATATAAAAGTTATTGAATTTTTTATATTGCACTAAATCAGGGGTCCTCAAATTATGGCCCCTGGGCTGGATACGTGCAATGAACGTTTATGTTGCTGCAGAGAGTCTCCCCCTTTGGGGTCTTTTTGTGCGGGTCAGAGGGGGGCAGAAATTCTGACTTGGAGTCTGCTTCAGCCTCCTGGTGAGGGGCTTTGGGTGAAGGCTGGAGAGAAGTGCCTCTGGTGGCAAGGAGTCGGAGGGCCTTATTCCAGTGGGACTGCATCATGGCCTGGAACTGGTTGACCATCTCAGCCCACTGAACCTCCAGGCGCTGGTACCTGGCCTTCACTCCCGCAGGTCTTCCCTCTGCTTGGAAAGCCTATGCTCATAGTCCTCAGTGAGGTGCTTCTGCTGAGCCTCCTTCTCCGTCAGATCCAATTTGAACTGAGCCAGCTGTTTTGCCAACTCTTTCTTGTGGTAGCTGCTTAGTTCCAACAACTGCTCCCTGTTGGGGCCCTAAGGAGCCTGGGCGGGCAGGCGAGGAGTGGCTGGGACGGGGAGTGGCCGGCGAGGTGCCCCTCGATGTGAGTGACATCAAGTTGGCCATGCCCACCCAGTCACATGACCACCTAGCCACGCCCACCCAGCCAGTCATTAGGCAGATCATATTAGTGGTCCTCGAGATTTAAAATTATGACTTTAGTGGTCCCTGAGGTTCAAAAGGTTGGGGACCCCTGCTATAGAGCACTGCACACCAGAACAACGAGACTTAAGAATAGTTTTTTTCCCGAACACCATCACTCTGCTAAACAAATAATCTCCTCAACACTGTCAAACTATTTACTAAGTCTGCACTATTATTAATCTTCTCATCATTCCTATCACCCATCTCCTTCCACTAATGACTCTATGACTGTAACCTTGTTGCTGGTATCCTTAATATTGACTGTTTCCCTATGACTATCCTTAAGTGTTGTACCTTATGATTCTTGACGAATGTATCTTTTCTTTTATGTACACTGTATGTGCGTATGCACCAAGACAAATCCCTTCTGTGTCCAATCACATTTGGCTAATAAAGAATGAATCCTTCCTTCCTTCCTTCCTTCCTTCCTCCCTCCCTCCCTCCCTCCCTCCAATACTCGAGCTCTGAAATCCATCTATCCATCTATCTAATACTCGAGCTCCGAAAAAACAACAGTGTTAGACCTGGTTAGTGTTTGGATGAGAGACCAACAGGTAAGCCCAGGTTTGCCCATAGCCTGGCAAGTAGGAAAAAAAAAAAGATACCAAAAAACAACCCCAACCAGTTCCGTATCATTGCAAAGGAAAACTGCATGGATACAGGGGGGAGAAAAGGGAAGTAAAAAAAACCCCAAAACAAATAAGGCGGATGCACAGAATGATAAAAGACCATCGGAATATCTTGGGGAGGAGCAACGAGGTTTTCGGGGCGATGAAGAGGCCGGGCATTTACCGGCTCCGATCCAGAAGCCCCTTAACTACTCTTGTCCTCACGAGAAAGCCGGAAAAGGGGGGGGGGCAGAAGGAGGTTCTCATCCCCCTAAATCTGGAGAGGATCAGGTGTCCTAATAACGAAATTAAGCCCGTGAGAAGGACGAGACGAGATGACACTCCCCGCCGCCTTCTTCGGGCATTCAGAATAACGGCAACCGCTTCCTCTCCTTCCCTCCCTCCCTCCCCCATACGAACCTCCACTCTCTTCCGGCATTTAACGCTTTCACCGACCGACCTTATCCTGCGCCCGAGTCGTTTTCCGGGTTCCCCGTCGTCACGTGACCTTCGACTACGCCCGTCTCTCTCACACGTGAGACTCATCACATCCGGTCAGGCGCCTCTCCCCCGCCCCCCGAGGTTGCTAGAGATACTAAAAAAGGGGTGGGGTCTTGAGACAGCGCGAGATAGACGCGTTCCGTCCCTCACGTGACTGCTTGTCAGTGGCGGCCTCGGACATTTGCCGGAGTCCGCGTATAAAGCAGAGGTCTTTCAAACTTGGCCGCTTTAAAGACTTGTGGACTTCAACTCCCAGAATTCTCCAGCCAGCATAGCTGGAGCATGCATGCTGGAGCATAGCTGGCTGGAGAATTCTGGGAGTTGAAGTCCACAAGTCTTTAAAGCGGCCAAGTTTGAAGACCTCTGGCGTAAGGCGACGTTGCTAGAGATACTTAAAAGGGCGGGAGCGTAAGAGGAGTTCGAGGGGGTTGGGGGGGATGGGGAATCGGACGAATTTGCCAGAAGCCAACTCGCTGCGGCAAACTCACCCACGGGTAACTTGGCGCAGGGACAGCTGGCCACGGCTCAGTCGCCGCGAGGCAACTCGTTGTGGGGCAATTTAACAATTCTATTTAATTATTTTTATTTGATTTATATGCTGCCCTTCTCCGGAGACTCAGGGCGGCTTACAATGCGTTAAGCAATAGCCTTCATACTTTTGTATATTTATACAAAGTCATCTTATTTTATTGATTGATTAATTGACTGATTGATTGATTGAATTTCTATACCACCCTTCTCCCAAAGGACTCAGGGCGGTGAACAGATTATGATTTCATATACATATAATGTGTGTGTGTGTGTGTGTATATATATATATATACACATACATACATACATACATACATACATACATACATACATACATATATATAAACAGTAAATAATAAATTGAATCAACTTGGTGTATCTGCTAAGACCTTGGCATAGAATTTAGATGTTTATGCTAGCCCTGCTTGTTGAAACAGAAAGGTCTTCAGGGCACGTCGGAAAGTGCGAAGATCTGGGATTATTCGTATTCCAGGGGGTATTTTGTTCCAAAGAGTAGGTGCCCCCACAGAGAAGGCTCTCTCCCTTGGAACTACTAGACAACATTGTTTTAATGATAGTACTATGAGTAGGCCTACTCTGTGAGAGCGTATTGGTTGGTGGGAGGTTATCGGTTGCAGCAGGTGGTCTCGTAAGTATTGCCCCCACAATCCGGGTCCTTAATTTAAAATCAATAAAAAAAATATTTTATTTTTTTGCCATTCACATTTCATTCTGTCCCTCCTTTTTGCATCCTTCCTTTAAGGATTCTCTTCCATCATTTCTTTGATGTGAATAGAATAGAATAGAATAGAATAGAATAGAATAGAATAGAATAGAATAGAATAGAATAGAATTATTTATTGACCAAGTGTGATTGGACACACAAGGAATTTGTCTTTGGTGCATATGCTCTCAGTGTACATAAAAAGAAAAGATACATTCCTCAAGAATCATAAGGTACAACACTTAATGATAGTCTTAGGGAACAAATAAGCAATCAAATCATATTAGGAAACAGTGAATATAAATTGTAAGGATACCAGCAACAAGGTTACAGTCATACAGTCATTAAGTGGAAGGAGGTGGGTGATGGGAACGATGAGAAGATTAATAGTAATGCAGACTTAGTGAATAGTTTGACAGTGTTGAGCGAATTATTTTTTTAGCAAATTGATGGCGTTTGGGAAAAAAACTGTTCTTGTACCTAATTGTCTTGGTGTGCAATGCTCTATAGTGTTGTTTTGAGGGTAGGAGTTGAAACAATTTATATCCAGGATGCAAGGGGTCTGTAAATATTTTCACTTAATTTCATTTAATGTAACTCTTGTCCTGCAGCGAATTGGCCGTGGCAAGCTGTCATAGACCCATGGGGATGATGGAAACAACCAAAAGATTAACGTATGAACAGTCAACTTAGCTGGGTAGCGTAGAACACTTTAGCTTAACCTGCCCCCATAAAGATATGTGGAGTTCAACTCCCGACACAAAGGATCCTAGGTAAACAGTGTCTTAAGGGGAATTTTAGACAAAACAAACCTTTTCAGTGGGTCATCGATCTTCCTGGCTCCCAACTTAATTTTCATTCTGTTCTAAGTAGCTCCGATTCAGATAGTCCTCGACTTACAACAGTTTAGTGACCATAGTCGATAGTCCTCGACTTAAAACAGTTTAGTGACCATTTGAAGTGACAACAGCACTGAAAAATGTGACTTAGGACCAGTTTTCACACTTGTGACCATTGCAGCATCTCCCTGGTCATGTGATTTCCCTTTGGATGCTTGACAATTGGTTCATATTTATGACGATTGCAGTGTCTTGGGGTGGGGGTGGGGTTTCATGTGATCCCCTTTTGTGACCTTCTGACAAGCAAAGTAATGGGGAAGCCAGATTCACTTAACCAGCCCTCTCAGTAATTTAACAATTGCAGTGATTCACTTAACAAATGTGACAAAACTCACCTAGCAAATTTCTCACTTAGCAACATAAATTCTGGGCTCAATTGTCGTAAGTCAAGGACTACCTGTATTTCCATTTTAAGATAGCATGGTGGGCAGAAATGCTACTGGTGGCTCAAAGTTTGGAGAAATATTTTTCCTAAGTCATTTTTTAACTTGGAACTCTGTTTTGTTGTGAGAAACAGGGCTTTCTCCACTGTAATGAATTGCATAGATATTCAATAAAGATTTCAAAAAATTTGCGAACATCATCTGAAATTGGGGAGAAAAGGGAAGCCAGCGTTCTGTAGTTTGAGATGCTTCAGAAGAGACCAGGACTCCATTGCATAATGAGCCAAAGGCCTCTAAATCGGACAGACTGCTTGAAAGCATTTTGCTATGAAGAGAATCCTATGTCCACATAATTATATTGAATATCAATGAAAACTGTGACATAATTACATGTATATAATCTGATTTTCCCCCACTCATTTTGTATTTACACAAATACAAAAGGGTTCCAGGTTCAGTTCCAAATTTTTTATTTGCATGGAAACAAGAATGATCCTACTGGAGGCGAGATTTGGATATGCTGTCTCTTATTGGTTCAAGTTTCTATTTTCTATTGGCTCTTTCTATTCACTCCTAGAAAAAGCCAAAGCCAAGATTTGCAATAAAATAAAATAAAAAATTGCCATTGACTTGAGCACTATAGGCAACTTACAAGAATGGGTTCCTTCCTGAAAATCTTTTTAACCTGCAAACTATCTCTTCAATCTGGTTTGTTCAATGCACTGCAGAGCCTTCTTTTTGGCCCACTTTAATGTTCTACCTTTGGTAGTATTGGATAGGAATTTTCATGAAATTTAATGAAATCCATAGACCACAACGAACCTGAGACCTTAGTCCATATATTTCTTCAATGCCCCTTTAAAAACTTACTTGGTGGTATACCTTTACTACCTCCTATTAGAGATCAAGCTTTCAATGAAGAAATGGTTTGTCTCCTTTCAGGCTAGAAACCTGCTATTATGAAGAGTTGCTTAGTAATAATCCTGTCACACAAAAAGTCATTTTATTCTTTTATCCAAATTTTACTTTGTTATATTTTGTTCTTTCTTTGTCCTCTGTGCAGACCAAGTAAGGCTGCAGAAACATTCACACTCAACATATAATCATTTTTCTCTTCTTCCTTTTAAATTTAAGATTGGGAGAATCTTTGGAATATATCATGGAAACCAAGACTAGCGGCTGCACAGGAGAAAAGTGCAATAGGTATTCTGTTGATCAAATTTTCTTCTGTAAATGCAATAAACTGTCTTTATAGTATAGTAGGACTAACTCAAATATAAACTGAGAACACTTTAAAAATATCTGATTTCTTTAATCCCATTAGATAAAAGGAATCTGATTAGAAGAATGACTTGTTTGCCCAACAGATTAAACTGTATTTGACAAACATGCTTATATTGACATAGCCTGCCAAAACAAACCATATTAACTTGATGGCTTAATTTAAGGTTTACAGTTTTGGTTTAAGCATTATGAATTGTAAATTCTGATTTAGGATTTAAGAGAATTTTACAAACTGTGTCTCTGTGCTGTTGCTTCCATGTACTGTGCTAGTATCTGAATGTGTTCAGGCGAATAATTAGATACAGTCTATTCACACTGAAAATAGTTTTATTTTGATATAAGTCTGATATTAGGTACATTACAAATTAAAATTTTATTTTCTTTATTCCTAACCATAAATGTACAGATAAGTAAAATAAGATTTCTTTTGAAAGATGCCGTTCTAAATTTTAAAGGATTTTTGTTGCTGGGCATCTTTGATAGATTTTTAAAGCTTGATTTGAAAACATTATCAGGTCTTCCAATAATTAACACTGAAATCCATTTAGATTTTTAAAGCAGACAACACAGGTCAAACAAATTCTAAATGTATTTACTTGAAAATTTATTTATACTCATGAAGCACCCCTGCCAACTGAAACTTGCATATTTAATCAAGTTTTATAAAACCTTATGAACAAACTGCAGATTGTCAGATTGTTATGTGAAATGTTAGCAAATAGTTAAGAAATGTCTGTTGGTAAGTCATCTCTATTATTTCACTTTATTCAAATGGAAAAATAAGTATAGCTTTTAGAAAAAAGCAAATCTACAACAGGTTTAATTAACAGTAGATTCTGTAAGAACTACTAGAGGGTGAAATCCGAAGTTTCATGAGCAAAGGTTTGCTCATATGATCAAACTGTTTTCTTCCTGTGTTATATGAATATCTCCTTCAGAAAATTTGTCTAGAGCAGATTTTGAGAGAAATTTAGGAGGAAAAGAGAATTGACTTTCTCTTAGTTCTGATTGTTCTTCATCCAGAATGTCCTCCCATATACATACATAGACATTTGAACATATCTGAAAAACCTGAACTAGCACTAAAATTGGCTAATTACATGTTATGAAGCCAGATAGAGGTTCTTATTGCAAACTATCATTATGAGCATAGATATTTACTGATGAATTTGCACACCTTTGCACCAAGCAATCCACCATTAAGGCAGTTTCTCTTTTTCTACTTTCTCTTTGCAAGTGATCAATAATTTTTTGCTCATGTCTCCTTATATGATATCATGTCTCCTCAAGACTCCGCCTTGAATCTTCGGAGAAAGGTGGCATAGAAGTTGAACAAATAAATATGCATTATGTGGGAGCAAAGACATGAGCTAAGACAGTTTCATTGCAGTGAAGGTTCAGACCTCACCTCTCAGCTAATCGTATGTATCCTAACTGAAAGTGGGCAAGATCATCAAGGAAAGAAAAGGAACGGCAATTTCCAGGCAATTTTTCTTTGTCATGACATCCAAATCCCTACTACTTGTGCTATTCTCTGCACATATTTAGTCATACAATATTATACAATCACAAGTTGGAGGTATGATACTAGGAAATACATACAGCAATACACAGATGCATACATACCTAGTCATTTATAAGAGCAGCAGTTCCCAAACCAAAAGACTTTGGTGCAGTGAAAAGAAATAAAGAAAACATATAAGCTAACAAAAATAAATAAATATAAATATGCAACCTTTACATAATCCTTAATGTAAGGCATATTGTTTTTAAATCAAAATTATAACAAAGCTGGCATATGATCTAGAGACATGCCGTTATTCTGAAAATCAGAAAAGCTGTTGTAATATTAGTATTACATGGGCTACAGATAATCTAAACCTTTGGGGCCCTAATTTATTAGGCACTTTTGTAGAATGGCCTATATTAATTTCCATGGGGCTGATTTGGAAAAGCCCATCCAGAAACCTCAGCAGTTGATTTGTGTTCACAAAAAGTAATCATCCATGTTTTAGCACATGCTTAAACTTTCATGTAAGGTTGCTATTAATATAATTTTTATTCCTGTACATGATTCTTGTACTGCTTGATTTGCCTATCATATCAAATATGATTGTCCTTCAATTCCATCAATTACTCCATTTATTTTGATGGATTGTTTCTTGACGTATTAGAAGAGAGCTTTTGATATTTGTTTTAAATTATTTTGAAATAAGAATATTTTGTATTTTTAATAATGGGAGTCCAGTTTGGTTTTGCTAATAATTATGGCTCACTAAATCATAGCCACATTGTCTGGTGCAGTTATCCCTAATGCTTTGAAAACCGGAAACAATATTTTATACTGCAGCATTTAAAGCAGTAAGCAGAGATTGTAATACATCCAACTGACATTCTAAAGAAAGAAAAAACAGCTTGCAACTGTTCTTTTTTAATACATCAAAGCAACTTAAAAGAAGCCAATAACCCTTCCATTCATGAAACATTTAGGTCAAAGGAATAAAAAATGCCTTAACTAACTCTATAAAGTCACCTGTAGTATGGAAAACAGAACTGGACAAATTTGCAAGAGAACTATAAACATATCTTCCAACTTTTTGTTCATTCAAGAGAAGTTCATCTTTGCCTGGAATAGCTGTGCTGGTGAAAGACCTTTTAAAATTACTTTTCCTTTGTTCTTTAACTAATCTAAACCACTTTGTTTCTTCCAAAACTAAAAAAAATGATTTGGTATTAAAATGAGTAGATTGATTTTAGGGTGTTCATGGAAATGATTTAACACTTCTGTACCTGGCAAAGTTCTGTCATCAAATTTATAGTCCTTGTGGCTATTTTCAAGTAAAAATAAAAAGTGTAGGCAATCAGGTCACAGCCTAAAGTGGCGCATTAAAGAACAGACCTTTTTTTAAAAAAATAATGAAGATAAAACTTTTAGTTATGTCATCATAAATCCTGATTAAAATTATAGTTGAAAGCTATGTTTAAAGTGAAATACTGTCTATGTTTTCAATTATTACTAATGCTATTTAATATGCTTTCCACTTATTAATCCTAGAGGAAAATACCTCTAGGAGAATAAACGTTCTTGAAAATCAAAGCTTAATTATGTATCAATTTCATATATAGCAAATATTACCCCAATTCTAGAAACATAAAGAAAGGTATGATGCAAATAATCAACATAATTTTCTACATCCTTAACCCTGACCAGAGGGATAAATTAATACAATTCATAAGTATAAGCATTCTAGTATATCGTCTGCACATAAACTAATAGGGCTAATTAGTCTGTTATGAACTAGTAGTTCACCCTTGGAGATCCAAATCTCGTATATTATTTGAGAACAAGTTCCATTAATTTCAATGTTTTACTTTAACACTTTGGGCTTGGATTTTAGAGGCACAATTTGAACAAGCAGGCTTTCTACTACTCTTACTAGCAATTTTCCAGACATCTCCTCTTAAAAGATTAAGATGAAGTATTATATTGTGAGCTACAGCAGGTGAAAAGAATATAAAGAGAGTCACTTTCAAATACAACTTCTAGTGAAAATGCATCTTTAGATTCAAGCTCATAGATTCATTATGGAAATCTTGAATATCAGCTACCAAATGAAAGTTACCAAGTATTTTTGATGACCACAGAAATGCCTTATATACATTCAGCTTACTGGTCAAACTGCAGGTTTTCAAAGCTCTATCAATCAACCCCTGCACCCAGGTTTCTGAAGTTTGAGCTTCAGTTTATCCCAGTTCAGGCTCTGATTGTCTGGCCAGAGACTTATACAAATATAAAATGTTTTTAGAGCACCCCGATATTCTCAATAGCTGTGTAAGCCAAAAGAGAGTTGCGTTATTAAGTTCTCAATCATCTATCTCTGTGCAGAATCTGTTAAATTCCAGTACCATGAATGCATTTAGCTTCGGATTACTTGAAGATTTGTCCAAGTTTGCTTAATGATTTTTGAACATGTTATTGCAAAAATTTATCACACAACATTTAGTTAGGCTCCTATGCAGTTCCAATATTAGTGAAATTCAAATATAAATAATCTTGTGTGGAAGTTATGAAACTGTATCTAGATTTGCAATCATGAATTTATAGAAAATATTGAATTCATTATAACATATTTACTTGGAATTAAGTGAAGGAGCATTTATGAGTCGTTAGGCTATCTAAATTGATTTTAGAACCAATTTACAAAATTTTGAATATTCAAATTTTAAAAAATTGATTTACCACGCCTTCTATTTCTGTCCTTACAGTTTCTTTCTATGAGGAACAGACAGAGACCAACGCTGGTGTATTCATATGGAACTTAAGGTTATAATGATACCTGTAATTTTAGCACAAAATTAAAAAAATAATAATTTTGCAACTCAAGCCTGAGTGATCTTCAAAATAAGCCTAATTCATTAATGAAATAGATAACTAAAATTACAGGGAATCTGTATTGTTTATTCCTCTATAAAACTGAAGACATAACTAAAATAGTTTAACAGAATCTTACATATACTATTTATCCAACAATTTGATTGCAGATGAAGGAAAATTGATTACAGTAGGCTTGCTTTTTTCAGCGAAGTTCATAACTGAATTTCATTTTTAAACTAATTCAGAACAACAAAAAAACTAAATCTAAAAAACGTTCTGATGGGAATGTTACCAGAATGCTTTTTTACCCAAAACTCACATTTTTCTCTTTTTATAAAAATGTTGAAGTACTATTAAAATAGCAGTTCTGAAATAATGTGGCTTTATAATTATCTGTTTAAAAGAAAAGCCCCTCACATATTGGTTAGGCTTTTGTTCCATAGCAGTAATGAAACTGTTCATGTGATTTTATGAGTCAGTACTAAGAAATTTAAGCGCCACCTATGAAAAATTACAAGTTTTCAAAACTAAACTTTATAGGCAGCAGACCACAATGCAAGTTGTTTACTGAAGTAAGTTTGAAGTACTATCTTTCAGTTAAAAATGGCATTTTATATTACAATTATGTGCTGATTCATGTGAAAGCTACTTTCTAATCTATCCCACAGTGGCTGCCTTTAGAACAAAGTATACACATCAATAAAAAATAAATATTTTTTCCATATTAGTTATATGGTAGCTTAGAAACATATAAATTCAGTTCTGAAATTCCATGTCTTATCTTCAGTTCTTCCAAAATCACATTAAATTTAAACCGGCAAAAGTGATTACATAAACAATATGTCATAAATGATCTTTAGAAGCAGATCACTTTTATCTTTAGTGCTACCCTTCATATACATATGGCCTTAAGTTGCTACATTATGACTTTAACTAACATCCTTGAACAAGACCATGGCTTATATTAATATTGATGACAACAATTCAGAAATAAGATGAACCAACTAATCACGAAACAAAGGCACAAGGCTGAACATTAAGAACTTTCTTAACTGACTTTTGATAGCAAAATAGAAATTAGAGCTGGTTGAAAGCACTCCAAAATTATTGAATTATTATTTTTTTAAATAAAAGTGAAATAAAAATCAAACTGAGGAGTCTGAAAAGCAGCATTTCCTTAACTGATTTCTTTTGGAACAGCAAAATATTCTGCTATTAGGAACTCAAGTACATTCAATATACAACATTTCTCTTTTCCAGCACAGATCTTAATTTTGTTAATGAGGAGAAAATAAATGAAAAAAGAAATATAAAACCTCAATTTTCTTCTTTAGTTCCACATACCTGACATCTGAATAATTAATAATGTAGTCATATTATTTATTCCACCTATTAAGATTGAAACTTTTAATATTCTAAATGCCTTCAGATGTCCATAACATATTTATATACATATAAGTAATTGTCTCATATATTTACATGGCAAGTATTTTAATAAGAGAACCACTACATCTACATTTCTAGTGGAGCAGCTTGTCCAAAATGCTTTCTTTCTTGTGGAAAAGTTCACAGAGGTTTTGGGAGTAAAATATAAAAGACAATTCAATGATGTAAACAATCTCTGTCCTATGTTTCAGACTACATAAAGAGGCTATTAAATGATATTGAAACTTCAGGGTAAGGTTTTTGGAAATAGCTACGAGTGAATTTTTTACATCTCTCCTTTTCAGTTGTCATGATGAAACAGTATTTTTCTTAGAAAGCATGTACTTCAAGCAGTATAGGTCAAAAATTTAGCTCATCCTCCTCGATAGATGCTGGTTAATCGTTCCAGCTCTTTGCAGTTGTCCATGGAAATAGCTTCTGCTTTCTTTCGTAGGCGATCATCCCGATAAACTTTTGCTGCATAGAGTAAATCAGTTTCTTTAAAAATAAATGAAAAAAATATGTCAGAAAATCAAATTTAAATAGCTTCTCCCTCAGTCTAGGTTCTTCCACATATTGCCAAAGTAACAAAAGGGCCTCTTCTACTTCATAATTTATAATCTATCTAAATATGTGAAATATTTTTATATCTGTTTTCATTAAAAATAAAAATGGAAGGAATGAAGGAGGAAGGAAACATTATTTCATTAAATATAGCTTGTACAGATTTTGACACAGAAAAAGATACCCATCCAAATTATGGATAATGGAAATGTTGCTTTGACCTTAATCTTCTACATGTTGCTTTAAAGATGTTTCACTGTTTTTCTATGAAAATGTAAATTTACATATAGATTTCTGTATATCTATCAGAATCAGTTATTCAACTGAATACAGAAATTATCCATTTGCTTGGGTTGAACTTCAGTTTATATCTCCATCAACTCAAGCAGATTAACCACAAAAAAATTAGAGTTAGGTGTTATATAAACCCCCTAGTTGACCTTATTCAACAATTTTATATAATTATTAAAATGTACATTTTAATATGTAAGATAGAATTCTGCAAACAAAGTATAAATAAATGCAGGGAAATCGGTAGATGTTTTTGGCACCGTGGGCCGGTCCTTTGCTGTTTCCAGGATGGCCCCGTGGGCCAGTTTTAAGCATCCCCTGGGCCGGATCTGGCCCACGGGCTTGAGTTTGACACCCCTGGTATACAAAGCATCTTCGCCAAGCATCTTGACTATACTTTTCAATCTATAAGAAAAATGTCATTCATCATTCTGTACAACTCCTTTTCTTCATCAGCAATCACTATGTTGTTCAAATGGTGACAAATGCTAGTAAAAAATAGCACTGAACTCTTACAATTATCAAAATGTTAAATGCTATGTTGCTTGGAAGAATAGATGACTGCAAAGATGCAATAGAAGTGAGGAAAAATTCTTCTGGGCCACCAATGCTGCTATCTTACAATGCTTCAGAAGAACTTATATGACCTTCTCAAGAGTTTTTACTCCATTACTCCATACTCTAGTGCTTTCAAAGAACCAAATTAATAAAATTAATAGAAGGCATTCTACACAAATTAACAATATACATAAAAGCTACCAATGGTAGTCCAACATTTTTATCCTATTTGGGAAAAAAAAGGGGGGGGGAGGGTAAATGAAGAGAATCACGAAGTGATCATGACTGCGGTAAAACAGAATTGGAAATTTTGTAAAAATGATACATGGAACTTATGTAACCTCTAGTTTTATATAAAATGCCAAAAAGGTAGTGCTGGAAGAATTCTGCTGGTGTAATCTCTGAGAATTCTGGACAATTTGGAGGATTTTTTTCCTCCAACAGTCCAGCCAACATTGCTCAGGAAATTCCCCACTCCCTCTTTATAGCTGTATTTGAGAAAGTGTTCAATGTCAGCTGTTAAAACTTACTTTGTTGTCTTTCCTTCCAGCAGTTATTTCGAATATTTGAGACATAGTCTTCTTCTACACTCTTTTCCACCTTTTGCAAATTTGGACCTTTATATTCATTTTTAAAGTCCTTGTTGACATAATAAACAACACCCAGATTTTCTGTCTGCATCTGGATAGTCTGCCCTGAACTCCTGTAAAAAGATTCCATATCAATTGTCAGCATGGGTGCATACTTCAAAGCCTGCATTTAGTAAAGAAAAGCAAGATGACTTTCAAATCTATAATGTAAGTTATTCATTTACTATTAATTTCCAAGCAAATAATTATTGCTGCAAATCCAGAAATCCAGTAATATTGCCTTAGTTATTCACTGCCTCAATAATTATGAGGCCAGGGGCACTATTATTTATTTATTTATTTATTTATTGGTTTGATTTATATGCCGCCCTTCTCCGGAGACTCAGGGCGGCTTACAATGTGTTAAGCAATAGCCTTCATACTTTTGCATATACCTGCTTAGTAGGGCTTTCAGCCCCCCCCAAGCGGTGTTCTTTTTTTTAAAATACAAAGTCAGCTTATTGCCCCCACAATCCGGGTCCTCATTTTACCTACCTCGAAAGGATGGAAGGCTGAGTCAACCTTGAGTCTGGTGAGATTTGAACTTGCAGTAATTGCAGGCAGCTATCCCAGCAGACAACTGGAATTTAGCTTTTAATACAGTAACATTTGCCAATTACTATTATATACCATTACATTAATCAAGTAGCACACACTAGGCTATCAGAAATAGCTACAAAAACTTATTGTTTAAAACAAATCAAACTAGCAAGTTGGTTATTTCTCACAAATGCAAACTTGCCTTCATTCCTATCATCCAGAATTCCAGTTCCAAAAATCGAACATTTGATTTTAACACAAGAGTGGCATGTAAACCTTGGAGGTGACTGGTGCTCCTTCACCTTTAAACTCTGTTTTAATGGTTTTTTAAAATCATGTCTTTTTATATCGTTTTATAGCTTTTACCGATAAACTGCCCAGAGTCGCTCAGATAGTAAATTTGATAAATAATAAAATCATAGAATGTTTTTTGTAACTTTTCCATTCCTAACATAAATCCTCCATAACATTTAATTAGATAACATTATCTACCTCCATCATGCTACTGAGGAGACCTGGATTTTTAATTAGTCATATCATTTAGATCAATATCTACAAAAATGTACAAAAGGAAAAGATTGTATTCTTCCTTGTTACAAAATAGGATTGTTACTGATTTGATGCGTACAAGAGAGAGAAAAGTGTTGCTATAAACAAGGCCTAAACAATATAGAACCAACAGAATGAATTTAAAATAGCAATTTTATAGACAATTTGCTCTTTTGCAAAAAATGGACAAAAAGTATTGTGTACTTTAACTATTTTTGAATATATTTTGTGGACCACAATCCATTTCAGGTTCATCAAATATAGTACCAAATATATATATATCCTATATATACCCAGTTGTTATTTTAAGGATAGGGTCCAAGAAGGAATGGAAGGGAAGAATAGTAAAAGAAGATGCAAGAAATAAATGAGAATTATTTATAGACAGTGACTGTTAGCAAAATAGGAGCGATAAAGATAATTATAAAAGTATTGTTACTTACGATCTTGGATATAAGGAATAAGGAGGATTAGATACCATCAACTGGCTAAGTAAAGAAACAAGGATCAGCACAATAATTGGCATCAACTGAATGAACATGGAGAACCCCCCCTGGAAAACAAGACAGCAATCAATAAAAAGAATTTCAGGATATTTAATTATTTTTTTAAAAAAGTGAAAGGAAACTATCCAGCCCATAAAAGCTAAACAGAAAATGTGTACCTGTAGCAGATAAATCTTGTGATATTAATAATCTATTTTTAAGTTTAATATTGTTTAATTGTAACTTACAAATGTTTAAAATTCATTACCTTATGTCAGGGGTGAAATCTAAAATTTTTCCCTACCGGTTCTGTGGGTGTGGCTTGGTGGGGGAGGGGGTCCTGTGTCTGAGTGGGCATGGCCAACTCGATGCCACTCACAGCCACGCCCACTCAGTCACAAGACCCCCTCCCACCAAGCCACGCCCACAGAACCCGGTAGGAAAACTTTTTAAATTTCTATTCTATCACCCACTCGCCACCCGCTCTCTCTTCGCTTTGGGTCGGGGGCCAGGGCCTAGGGATGCGCCATTCCCTGGGGCCCTAGAGCCGCCGCCTACATCAACCAGGTCGGGGAATGCACCATTCCTCGACACCAACCTTGCCCTGGAGCCGCTGCCCGCTTTCTTATCGCCAAGCGGCATGTCCTTACCTTTCTCCCATGGCTGGCTGTCAGGGAAGGCAAGCGCCCGAAAGTTACCGGAGTCGCTCACTCTCCTTCTTGAATGTGCCGCCACCATCACCGCCCTGGTCCACATGCCGGTTGCGCAAGTGCACACCCAACCTGCCGCTGATGTGAATGAAATAAACAGTGTGCGCTTGTGCAGCTGGCGCATGGACCAGAGCAGCGATGGTGGCGGTACATTCAAGGAGAGTGAGCGACTCCTGTAACTTTTGGGCGTTTGCCTTTCCTGACAGCCAGCTGCGGAAGAAAGGTGACGAGTAGGATACACCACGTGGCGAAGGGCGAGCAGGCAGTGGCTCCGTGGCAAGGCCGGAGTCGGGGAATGGTGCATTCCCCGACCCAGTTGAGGTAGGCGGCAAGCAGGCGGCGGCTCCGGGGCTTTGGTGAATGGCACATCCCTGGGCCCTGGCCTCTGACCCAAGGCGAAGGGCGAGTGGGCGGCGGCAAGTGGGTGGCGGCTCCGCGGTATGGCGTGAGTCTCTTTCTGGGCATGTCACTTCTGCCTGTTGGGCCAGTTCCAGGAAGTAATGACTTCTGGGTTGGTGGGCGGCGCCTCCAGCTGCCATTGCTACCGGTTCTCCAAACTACCGGCCATCATCGCTACCCGATCAGGGAGCATTTCACCCCTGCCTTGTGTTAAAATAGGCTTCCTCAAAATGTGTTCTAATCTCAACAATTCATGGTTTGCCAAGTAGACATACGTAAAATGTTCTGAGTTCTAACAATTCCAAATTCAAAAGACCATTAGACCATTTTGCAGGCCTTCTAAATCCAAAATGTTACGTTTCCTTGACATAATGGAGTTTTGAAATCAGAACATTTGTTATGTCCATAATTAATGTGATCCAGACTGAGAAACAGTACAAAATAAAAATCTAGAAAATCAATCTTGAAACTGATCCAGTATCGTATTCCCGTATCACTAAACAGCCACAATCCAGAATTATACAGCTTTTATCAGGCTACAATATATTAAGGTGATTAAATAAAATCTTTTAAAAATTGTTTAAAGGAAGAAGTGTAGTTCTGCAATAGAAACGTCCTTTTCAAACCCTTGTATTAAATGGAACTCCTCCCTCCCAATGGCCTCTGATGCTTAGAGGAAACCCACATAAGCTTTATGCCTCAGAAACCACACATATGAATCCAACATTCAGATTAGACTATATAAGCACTATTAGCATTTCAATTTTTATTGTTTACTTGCACATTCATATATTAAATGTTACAGGCGTGCTTTTTAAAAAAAAAAGTTTAGAAAATGTAATATACAGAAAAGCATCTCAGATTAGACTGAGGAAACAGTTATTCAGGAGAAACTTACGTCACCCCTTTCCTCTTCTCTTTCATGTCCGCTATGACGATGCTGATTATGGTGACTATATCCAGACCGTCCGTTAGAAAAAGAATGTACACTTCCTATAAACAAAACCAGAGAGAATTGATGAGAACGTAAATATAAAATTAATGTTTTAGAAATCTTTTATTTGAATTTGAATTTTTTTGAATCTAGGAATAGTAACCTGCAGAACCTCCTCCAAGCACATTTGTCAAACCAGTTTGATGCTATTTCGAGGTAGAAGACAGAAAATTATAGCGTAAACCTTAAAATAGATTTAGTATAGCATAAAAAGAAATAAAAAAATCCTTAAGATATCTTCTGTTCCTTAATTGCAAAGAAAACCCTGAATAGCTGCCATCAAACTGTATGACACTTCCTCATGATTCCTGCATGCAATCATGCTCACTGCAATATTCAATCTTATAAGAAATGTTAATTATCCATTTTTATGGTTGATCAAAAAGTTGCCCATCCTTGCATGAGGCAATTCAAGAAAGTTCTATTTTTGTCCTAGAGCAATTTTATAATTTATAATCTGTTAACACACAAACATAGTATTTAATTAATTTGCTACAAATGAAAGCTATTTTAGGATAGAGATTAAGTCAATTTTATGGATAACAAAAAAAAAAAAAAAAGAAAAGAAAAGAAAGAAAAAAGCCTGAATGTTATTTTTGACAGCTAAACAGACCTGTTGGAAAGGCTCCTCCAAAGAACATGTTGAAGAGGTCCTCTGGGGTGATATCTGCTTCACATCCCCTGTGGAAGTTAAATCTACCATTGCCTGGCTGATTGCAGGGATCTTCGCTGCCTGTGAGATCATACTGTTTGCGTTTTTCTGGATTACTTAACACAGCATATGCATTTCCAATTTCTGAAGATAGAATGTAAAAGGAAAAAAAGGAAGAAAAAATCTTAAATGAATACAAATGTGACTTACTTCTGTCCAGCAAGTCAAAGTCAATATGTTTATATCAGAAAGCAAAAATTCATTATACACTCAGCATGATTTGCAATATCCTTTTCCACACATCACAACAGTCATGCTGTTGAAAATGCAATGTGTGACTTGCTGCGTACTATATTCTCCCCTTTTGGGAATTGGGGGAAAAAACCAAAATAAAATGTGATCACCATTCCTGTTATCTGTTTTAAAAATCTGCACAGCCTGAACTGCTTAGTTTTGTAATGTATGCAAAATATCTTGAGATGCCGGAAGTTCTATTTTGTAACAATTTTATATTGTTTAAACTTATTCAACTTTTTATTTAAATTGCTTTTATGTTTGTTTTTTGCACACTATCCTGGAAAATGTAGCAAGTTTCATAAGATGCCACAAGTAAATAATAGTAATGAAGGTCAAAAGGTATCACCATACAAATGAAGTGTTAGTTTTTCCTGAGATGTGACAAACTAATTTTTGAAAAGCTTGGGTTTTTGGAAGAAAGCTGATGAATAGATTTTCCTGCCATATCTGATCACATTTTGCTATTTAATTTAAATATTTTATAAACCTAGAATTCCTACGTTATTTTTGCCTTCAAAAAGCATTCTTCCAGAGATGTGGAAAGTTATATTAGATCTTGGTAAACACAAACAATTAAGAGGTTGATACAGGTGTAACTAAATTTCGTTTAAAAACCCAAAGTACTGTTTTGAGAGGTTTAGTGTTATCTGGTTCCAAAGCATGGTTCCTTTTATTTTCCTTTCCTCCAGAGGGAACTCTGGATTTAACAGGTGATCAGCGACAAGTGCAAAGCTGATTTTTTTCCACCTTGCTTGTCTTTCTTCTGCTATTATTTCAGCTCTCTTCTTTGAATCTAGAAGAATCCATTAAAGAATCTCTGAAACCCTAGACAGCATCCATCATCTTGAAAACAGATTCCTTCCAAATATATTCCAAACAACGAAGTCCATTTCTGTAATAGTACAGCTGGAGTTATTTTTTTAGAAGTCTAAAGTAGATTTGCTCTCAAAAATGACTGTAAATAATTACTTTGTTATTTAGTGCCTACTTCTTTTTCTGTTATTTTCTTTTTCTATGGCTTTAATTCCTAAACCTGTTTTCAAATGATTTTCTGTCTTACAACAGACTTCTGTCTTCTGTTTACAAACTAGAGAGGATGTAACTGTAACTCTTTATTTTTGCATTTTCAAAATAAATAACAACCAAAAAACACAAGAGAGTGAGCAGCTGTAGAGAATGGGGATTTATAAAAGTGCAGTGGATTTCTTTTTAAAGCCGAAGGCTGGAAACCCAAAGCTGCAGTTGGATTGCTAGATAGATATAATAGATATAACTAAATAGATATAACAGAGCATGATTACAGCTTTTTCTGTAAGATTTGCAGAATATTTGCCCTATATTTGCATTATGTAATTCAGCACTTTTTGATAGGACTGATTTGATATACAGGTAGCCCTCGACTTACAACAGTTCATTTAGTGACCATTCAAAGTTACAACATCACTGAAAAAAGTGACTTACGACCATTTTTCAGACTTACAATCATTGTAACAGTCCCATGGCTCAAGTGATCAAAATGCAGATGCTTGGCAACTGGTTCGTATTTATGATGGTTGCAGTGTCTCTGAGTCATGGGACCAACTTTTGCGACCTTTTGACAAGCAAAGTCAATGGGGAAGTCAGATTCACTTAACAACCATGTTACTAATGTTAATTAGTTACTAATCACAACTGCTGTGATTCACTTAACTGTTGCAAGAAAAGTCGTAAATTCTTGCAAATTCATTTAACAAATGTTTCATTTAACAACAAAAAAATTGGGCTTAGTTATGGTCGTAAGTTGAGGACTACCTGTATTTCATTCATGTATTCAGAACTTAAAATGTAATAGCGTACAGCTTATAATTAATTTCCTTTCGCCAACTCAAGCTGACTAGCTTCTTTGCAAAGACTGAGTATGCTGGATGGAATCAAGTATCCAACAGTAGAATGAAAACCAACAGAGGTACTACTCAGCAAATACGTCTGTAAGTAGTGCTGACTGAATTTTCCCCATAGTAGAATTGACAGGTCAATTGCCTCATCCATCTTGGGCAAACAGAAGAATGAAATTGGACTGAACTTTTATCCTAACACAGATTTTTTTTAAAAAAAATTGGCATTAGAATACATTTCTGGATATGTCCTGCTTTAAAAAGATGTATGAGTAACCTAATCAGTAGGGCAGCAGCAATAGTCAGTTCTGCCTTGGAGCATTTTCTTATAAAAGAATAATGAAATATTACTTTTAAAAGCTTCCGTTGCTCCTGGTGCATGATTTTTGTCAGGATGAAACTTCAGAGCAAGCTTTCTATAAGCTTTCTTCAAGTCTTCTTCACCTGCATCTTTTGACACTCCAAGGACCTCATAGTAATTCTTACATTTTTTTATGCTGCAGAATAACAAGAAGTAATTCTTCAGAGACCAAACTTTAATGCACATTAAATCTCAAAACATAACGCGAGAAGCTTATTGTTTAATTTTCAAGCTTATATAACTTTCCTACTGTTTCTATTGCTGACATTTTTATCTTAGATTTCATGCTTATTTTACTAGGTGTGCTGTGGTTTCTATGATTTCAACCAAATCTTTATAACTGAGGTGCAAGTGGCTGTGGTTAACAGAAAAACCCCACGTTTCAGAGGTTAAGATTTATTTTTATATAATTATTGGGAAACAATTACCGTTTTTTTTCAAAGACTTGCAAATATTTAAACCCATACATGAAAGTATGTTTTAATATATTTATTTTCTTGATAGATTAAAGCATCTAGAAAATAATAGGCACACCCAGATTCAGTCATTTGACCAAGTTACGTGAGTTATACTTTTAATATTATTCAATATTATCAATACTATTAGTATTATCATTATTAATTAAAGTATTATCAGATCAGTGATGCAACAACTAAGAAAGATGTTTCAAACACTAGAGACTATAAAATAAAGAACACCCGAGGGATAGATAGCGCGACTACTTTTCCAGAATGGACCAGAGTAATGAAGTCTATTCAGAAGGAAAGATTTCATATCTTCTCCCTCAGTGAAAGAGCACTTTATCTTATTGTAATATAATAAGCTTTGCTTTATTCATAAAAATCAATGGGTTAGGGAATTAGCTGAAGTCAGTGAGCAAATCGTTACTATTTAGTTGTGAAGATGCTTTTTATTAGAAAACCAAGCTCATTTTTTAGAAGCCTGCAAATGAATCTTAGCTCCTGTGACAATATCAGATTTCTTTTGCACAATCAAAATGAGCAGCCGTTTGCTCTCTCCTTATTCTTCGTGCATAACTGCTTAATACTTATGCAATCAGTAAAGAGCTATTGCATCTTTCCCAGCTCCCACTTGAGTCAAACTGTCACTGAGCAACACTCAGTTGAAGAGCTACAACAATCTGAAAGGGAGCACTGTCTCTTGTGTATAGGACACAGAAGAAAACAAGCCTACGTTGGGTGCCTACCGAGTGCCTACCGACACAATATTAGAAGGGAGGAGAGCAAAATAGACTAAACTCGGGCACATGGAATTATTAGCTGCCTATTTTCTCTTACATTTCTTATTACTACCATTCAGAGACTGAGCATAACGTGTTCCGCGTATTGTTGAAATACTTCTAAAAATATTTTCTACTTGAATACAAGAAAAACCAATGTTGATGTAGCAAGAAAGAGTGTTAGATTGCAACTGATAAATGTAAAGTAAAATTCCTACTTAGTTACAAAACTCACTGGATAACTTCTGCTTACTACCATGTTAGTCAGGGTTGCTCTGACATTAAAATCATCATTGTAAGAAACATAATTTCCCTAAAGTTGTTGAAAAAAGGTCAGAACAAACCTACCTTCTTTTGAATGCAGAAATACTCCAAAGGACAGATATGAACAAGTTTAAAAAAACAGCTTACTTAAAAGTATAAACAATTCACTCTAGTTCAATTTCAAATAAAACTTTACTAGGGCAATTATAAACAGATAAAAACTCAAAAACTTAGAATATACAAAAAATGAAATGATTAAAATACATACATCCAGAGTTATGAAATAGATATGTTCAAAATAAAACCTTCAAAGAAACCATTCAACATATTGATACATGTATTATAAATGCACAATTTGTTTATAATAAAACAAAAACTTTAGTTGTGACCAGTAAACTATTCCAAATTGTATCAGGCTTCATCTGATATTACCAAGACACTTTATTATTAGTTTATCAAATTCTATGAGACCGTTCAAAAGATGAATTCATGAAATTAAGTCATGCATTGCAGCATTTAGGTGACAAAAGTTTTTTCCCAAAGCACTGACTTAAAAACAGCATAATATCTTGACTATACCAACTATCTGAAAACACAGCGACACAGGCTGCAATCAGGTATTTTTAAAATTACCTATAGGCAGTTTTTTAAATTTAATTTTTAGATTAATGAAGTGTTACAGAGCAATCAATACCTTTGTACTCCTTCAATTTGCTCCTTGGTGTAAGTCTTCCCAATTTCACCTGATGCACTGCTGTCCTTCATGCTATTAGTTTTACTTTTATCATTCTTACTTGCTGGTTTTCGACAGTGAGTACCACTTCCAGCTGCACTCCCATTCTTCATAATTGCCTCCAATAACACTAAAGAGAAAAAAAGTGGAAATGAAACATTCAAATATTTCAATCACTTAGGCCAGTCCTAACAGAAGCTACGAAAGTCAAATGTTTGTATAGAAATGCACACACACACAGTGCAGTGTGCTGTACGTTATTTATAAATAAATAGAGACTGAAGGGTTTCCTGCTCCAATCTTTAGAACATAGGAATATACATTTTAAAACATCTGACTTTTATCTAATTATAGTACTTGCATTTGCTAGCACAAGTCTATATTTGTTTACTCAAAAGTAATTATCACTGGGTACAATGAGTCTATCCCCTGAGTAAGCATGCATAGAGATTTGCAGGCTTACTCTTTCTTGAAAGAAACAGTGAAGAATATCAGCCTCTTCTCTTACAATAAATGTAGGTACTGTCAATCATCTAGCAGACATTTGTAATATTTAATACCTAAATGGTTGCACAGTCATTTCATACAGTCTAAATCACTGTAAGAGGTATTTGATAATTTATTAGTGAAAAGTAAAAATGGCATAGTAAATATAAACAATTTATGTAAATACAGCCCATATTCATCAAGCTAGAAATTCTGAGAGAGGGCATGTTGGAGAAGTTTTTCACAAGTGTATAGTTAAAACATTTAAGGTAATTGTCATGTAACTACAGGTTGACATTAGGATGGTAATAAAAGAAAACCAAGGCTAACTATAAAAATCTGTGATATAATTGGAGTTAATTAAATTTATTATCTTAACATTAACAGACTTGTGTAAATGTATTATTACATGAACAATGCATATATGAATGAAATTTGAGATAATGAAGTTATTTAATTTAATCACATATCCGTGGGGTAGCCAATGCATTTATAGAATTTTTAAATTTAATGAACTAAATGAAATATTCTCATTTCTATGCTTGCTATCGAAGTGTTAACACGATGCAGTTCTGAAAATGAAGTACTATCTACACAAGGATCTGAACTAATGAAATATGTGGCAATTGTACTGTCACAGTCTTAACATTCCCAATTTAAAATATATTAATTGTAAACTGTTTCTTGTAGTAAAACAATTAAGATACAATCGACTGCTGTACCCTGAATGTCATACAATTAACAGCTTATCAAATACATTTAGCACCATGATGAATTTCTCTTTTTGTGAACCAAAGGCAGCCCATATATTTTTACTCATGCCTTCACCCAGTATGCAATTATTAGTTTGCTTATTTATTTGATTCCGATATACCACACAGTTTATGCCAGAGCTCAAGATGGCAAACAGTCTTCTTCTACTTTTCTTCACACAGGAAGTCCTCACTTGGGTCTAGTCTAGGGGTTAAGGTATAAGGCTAAAAATCAAGAGCCCATGAGTTCTAATCCTGCCTTAGGCATGAAAGCTGGCTGGGTGACTTTGGGCCAGTCAGTCTCTCTCAGCCCACAATGTCAAGCTTGGGCAAAAAGATGATTGGTCAATTTCCCACACAACCAGTGGATCAACACTTAGTTGATAAAAAAAAATTGCAAGAAAAACACTACAAAGGGAAAAGCTAGTCTTCACTTACTGACCTCAGTTGGGATTAGCAACTCCAATGCTACGTGATGTGGTTGTTAATTGAAACTTTACATGACCATCACCAACTTACAACTGCGGCAGCTCTTAAGCAAATCACTGTGGTTGTTAACTGCAACGTCATGTGACTATGACTTGCGACTTACTGCTGGCTTCTGCACTGACTTTGCTTGTGGGAAGCCAGCAGGGAATGTTGCAAATAACGGTGGGATGTTACGACGATTGTAAATGTCGCTAGTTGCCAAGCGTTCCAATCATGTCTATGAGAACATGGGGATGCTTTGACAGCCTCAAGTTCAAGGACTGGTCATAAATCTACTTTTTCAATACCACTATAGCTTCAAACAGTCTCTGAACAAACAATTGGAAAACAATGAGGTGGACTGAGCTGAGAGAGAGTGACTGCTCCAAAGACATCCAGTGAGCTTCTGTGGTAGAGATTGTGGACTAAAGCTTGGTCTTCTGCTCCTATCTAGTTCAGCACCTTTACCACTAGAGCATACTAGACTTAATAAACTTTAGCATATACTATATGATGATTTAAACCAAATTTCACTTTAGCTAGTCCATGTTTTAAATTTATAGGGCTTCGAATGATGTAAGAATAGAGACAGAAAAAACTCCATTTATAATCCATTTATAATAAGTGGAAGAAAACCTCATCATTTTAAATAAATCACTGCTTCAAGTAACAGCTTGAGATAAAAATATTAGCTGGTTTTAATGCTGATCCTTACCTGCTAATGTCTATCAATATAACTAAGGTGCTACTAAAAATATAGCAGGGCATCTTACAATCTTTAAAGGAAGAAGCATTGTTGATTATCTCCAACAATGCCATTGTAGTATGTTCATCAACAGCTCAGAAAGTAAAAGTCAAATTAACAGGATTGAAATCATTAATTTAAACTCAAATATTTTTCAGAGCTCCAAATAATAATCTGAGAATAAAAAAACCAGTATCTGGAATATACCCAATAAATTTTTCTTAATACATCATATTCACTTTTCTCCCTTTCCCTTTGCCAAGTAAAGACATATAAACTATACTCAAAGAATAATACGTTTTCAAGCAAAATATTCAAAACTAGAATGAAAATATTAATAAACCTTTTTACTCCTATGATGTCTTTGATGTGTTATGCATCTTTAATTGTCAGCTGAATTTGATTGACTGTGAAATTGCCAATTTAGTCATTTGTTTGGATGTTGTATTATAAAACTATGCTAAGGTTTGGCTGAAGTTATAACATTTTCTTAAAGTCTATATTGACCTATATTTCAAGGTTGGCCCTCAAGATAAAACTGAGTACAAAAAAGAATAGGTAACTCATCCTTTCACAGCAAGAACATCAAAAAAAAGGGAGAAATGTGAATCAAATGAGCTTGAAAGTATCACTGAGATTAAGGCCGATTGTGATACAAAAAGAATTTCTGAAATCCCATTAGCCTTTAAAACAAGTAATTCAGAAATGCAACTAGGCCACAGCGGTATATAAACCCCAAGAAATAATTACATAGATAACATTGCAAACCATCTGTTTAAACAAGAAATCATTAACTGAAATTGCCAACTATTCAAGGCTTCTATCGTCATGTTTTTCCTCATCTAGAGTTCTGCAGCGTCAACCATTTTAATCTGATCCTAATATATTTGTAAACATAAAACCTATGTGGATTTATTTCAAATAAACATGTTTATTTGAATATTCTAATATAACATGTTATGTTACATTCAGCTCAGCACTATTATTTGCAGAATGTCATTGTATAATCAGACAGAAAGGTGTAAAAGTATCTAATGGCAATTGGATTTCTCTCTGAAACACTGCTATGATTATTTACAATTAGTTTTAAAGGTCCAATTTCAGTTTACTGCAAATTTGTACTATGGTTGTTCCTTAGAATCACCAGCATTTAGCAATATTGTGAAAAATAAACAGTCCCTCATGAATCAAAATAAGAAAATCATAGAAAAGCTTTTATCTTATAGGTTAACAAGTGCTTTCAAAAGATAACTTAGTCATCCACAATACTTCTGAACAAATTTGTTCATTTGAAAATTTAAATGTAACCTGCTTCTTCAAGAATTTTTAACTATAAGGCTTTATTTTAACTGCATGGCATCAAATGAGTGAAAAGAACAAGTGTATTTCATGCATCAGGTATCTTACTTAAATGGGTCCTTTAAACAGGGCTTGTCTTACTCTTGAATCTGTAGCATGCTAATATTAGGCATGCCTGTGAAGTGAACTGGTTTAATTTAGACGTTAGAGACGCATAATGTTAAAAAGGCTTTTCTGCCTAGTTTCTCATCATCAGTTGTTATTTTGAGGATATCTTGAAAAAAACACATATTACGTAGACCAGAGGTCTTCAAACTTGGCAGCTTTAAGACTTGTGGACTTCAACTCCCAGAATTCTCCAGCTAGCTCAGGCTTACCTCAGAATTTTTTTAGGTGAACTCATAATTAAATGTCTATGTCAGGGGTCTCCAAACTTGGCAGCTTTAAGACTTGTGGACTTCAACTCCCAGAATTCCCCAGCCAGCATAGCTAGCTGGAGAATTCTGGGAGTTGAAGTCTACAAGTTGAAGTCTTAAAGCTGCCAAATTTGTGGACCCCTGACGTAGACATTTAATTATGAGTTCACCTAAAAATTTTTTGAGGTAAGCCTGTTTTTGCTTTTTAAATATTATCAGTAAAATGATAGTCCTTGTAAAGCTGCAAGTATGTTGCCATCCACAAGTCACAGAATTTAAAGATAAATCATTGATATTACTGTACAAATTCAATAATATGATCCTTGAATGATCCTGGAAAAAGACACGACTGCTTTTAAGGACTGCAGGCCTCTAAAGGACTGCTTTAAAGCACTGTATATTTGCACTCCTAAGTATTGTGAAGCACCTCTTAGGAATCAATTCTGAAGTACTGTACAATTCTAAAAAATGATAATGTAGACCAGTGGTCCCCAACCTTTGTTCTTCCACATAATGGCAGCAGCAGTGGTGGCAACAGAGGGAGAGGGATGGTTTCACATGTGCGAACTAGTTCCCATGCATATGCAAATGAAGTTTCACAAGCTTGTCTGCTGCTTGCGCGGCCTGGTTCCCAATAGGCCATGGACTGGTACCCGTTCACTGCCCAGGGGTTGGGGACCCCTGATTTAGAGTTCTATGACAAGAGATTTTCTTGGATTCATGGCTCCTGCTTAAAGAGCAAGTGACAACTCTGGTTAGAAGGGCCTTTGCCCAGCTACTTGTGTACCTGTTCCTAAACTGGGAAGTCCTGGTCATTTCCCAACTGAACCACTGCAATGCAGCTAAATGACTTACCACTATGCTTCAAGATTACATTCAAAGAGTTAGTTGCTACCTATAAAGTTATTTGACATGGGAATGGCTCACTCGTAGCACCACCGAGTCTCCCCAGTTATATTAACCAGTCTTGTTAGATCCAGCAGGAGAGGCATGCTCTGGGTTTCATCTAGTATCAGTGAGAATCAGGAAGAGAGCCTTTTCTATCTTCTCACCTGGCCTCTGGAATATCATTCCCCTGGAGATTATACTTGCCCTGACCTTACAGGTTTTTCATAAGACCTTGAAAGAGGTTTTGCTACCCAGCATGGGGCCTTCTTAAATAACGTAGTTGAGCCTATATCATAGTTCTGTTGTATTGGATGGATTTTTCATCTCAGTTGCTGTATAAAGTATTTATTTGTTGTGATGTTTTATCTTGATTAATTCACTGTTACCCACCCAGATTCATGCATTTACGATGGGTGATTGCATACAGTAAACTGAATAAACAACTATTTTTTTCATATATTGTATTTCTGCTCTTCATCTATTCAGCCAATATCCTACAGCCTATTTATATTACAAATCATGCTATTCTACAAAACACTTCTAGAAATAATTTGAAACTGACTTGAAGAATAGAAAGCCAACAGGGAAGGGTCAGCAGATAGGAAATTAGAAATAAATCAGTAACAAACCAAGAACAGAAAACAGGATGCAGCATCAGTAAAGAAAACTGGGAAATTGCAATTCTACAACCACACTGAAGAATGTGGCACTGAACGTATTCAGTATCTTAAACATTTAAGTTACTATTTTAAAAGAATAAAGTTTCCAGCATTAGGGTTACCAAAGATGTGCTTCAAGCACATGGAAATCTGCTTCACTGCTTTCTATTTTTCCTTTCCATGACCAACAAAGGTGAAATATTGAAAAATACACATGTACAGTACATAATACCTAGACTATGTTGCTGTAAAGTGTAGATCTCTGTCTGACCATTTGTCTCACATTCATGAAGAGACAACTTTGAACACCCAAATTTCACTATCCTTTACCATTCCTCTCTACCAAACACATAAAAAACTTGAATCCTCTTAATCAATTTTAATGCCATTCTAAGTGCAGATTTCTCTTTACTGTATCTAAAGAAATCATGGCTACATTTCTAAGATTTTGTCAACAAAACCATATTGTGAGTGGAGGACCAGAGGATAGTAAATTAAAACCAAAAAAGGCTACTACAAGGCTGTAGGACTAGTCATCCGGATAAGAGGTTGGAAAATAAAAAAGGTTGCAAAAACACTAAAGTACTTTACATATAAACATAGTTCACTGAAACTGATAAGTTTGCACATTTCATTACAATCAGTGGTTACATTCACATTAAATAGCTATCCATAGTTAATTTAATCCATTAAATTGTTTGCTGTAGTGGTTAAAATGCTAGAGTAGAAGCTGGGAAATGTGAATTCTAGTTCTTTCTTTGGTCAACTGGGTGACTTTGGGCCGGATAACAGGAGGTGGGAGCAATTATGTAGACCACCTTGAGTTGTATAAAATAAGGGTGCAATATAAATCTAATAATAAATACTACGGTTTACTAGGTTACCCAAATTTTATGGGCTCATAAAATACACCATACCATACCACTAATTAACTAACAAACTGTCTGTTAGGTTACCAGCATTGATTTTGTCCTTGTTAATGTAGCAATCCTTGTAATGTAGCATTCAAGATAATATTGATATTATCACTATCAACTATCCAAGATAGTTTTGGCACATTTTGGCCAATATGCCACAATTGCAACCAAAGCCAAGTTTAACCCCAAAGTATGCTCACACTATTTTAAGCAAGCTAAGATCTCTAAACTGAAGATTATTTTATAAACCAATAAGCTTTGGGCCTGCATTCTATCAATTATAAGGTAAACACAAGAATACAAATACATTTAGATATAAATTTATGAAGAAGAGTAAATGGGTAGACAGGAAGGCGAGGACTTTAAAAGGGGGTGTTGAAATGGTATCTGGCCACAGTACAAGGAAAAATTGTTTGCATTGAAAGTTATGGAAATGTATACTGAAGGATATTAATATAAACTAGATTTAGTTACATCTTCCTTTATTTTTCTCATGGCTTAACTTTATTTTGTTTGCTACAACTTACTCTTTCATAACTTTTCTTACCTCAAAAGGGAATACCATGATGAGCATATATGTAAATTACGAAATATCATATGACAGAATTTCTTCACAAAGGAATACCTAGTTCAAATGTGAACTTACTATGCAGTCTAAGATAAACAGCTGTCTCAGCCTCCCTCTCCCTTTGGGATAGATATTATTTGAATTCAGCTTCAAAAATGTGCTTTGGAGCAGGTGGGATCATAAATACAATACCTGCCTATAACTCTTTAAAGCAATTATGAAATCCTGGGAAAAGATGCGGCTGCTTTAAAGAGCTTCAAGCAGTCACTGTGCTCTAAAGGACTTTCTGGAATAAAATCTGCTGCTCTGTAAAGCCTGTTAGAGATTGTTCTCGCAAGGTCAGTCTAGCCACTACTAAAATAATTTACTGAATGTATTCGTATTATCAGGAATGGTTTTTCCAAAAAAATGCACCTGCCACCCTCGATGATCCAAACCCTTCTCAGAATAGACCTAAATAAGCAGACCAACATGTAATGTTCTGTATATGCACTCAGAGGGGCAATGGTAACAAGGCTGGGGTTAGATGATCCCTCATTAAACCATAATATGATCCCTCATTAAACCATAATATGGTCTGATTTTGGCTTACAGCATTGCATGAACAAGCCAAAATGCTGCTTTTAGGAAGCTATGGTTTACTTGACAGTTTAGGGGGTTTGAATGTCTAGGAACTTTGTTTAAGAGCCCCGATACTGATGAAAGCACCCACCAGAAGCTTCGGCCTCTTCCTCGCTCTCCCCTCCCCTTCCTCTGGGGTAAAGACCCCAACCCCAATCCCGCTAAACCGGAAGAGAAGGAGCCGCGCGAGGCCTCGGGGCCATCCCTTAACCGAGACTGACGTGGTGCCTCAAGCGGCGGGGGTTGCTCTGCAAGGGAAGGGCGCCGGGCTGGCTCCTACCGGCTCCCCGCTGGCCTAAGAGCGACCCGTGCTTACCCTTGGCGGTCTCGGTCGGATAGAGCTTCTGGGCCTTATTGAGGAAGCGCAGCGCCCGTTCTCGGTTGCCGGTTTCCAGGGCCTCTCGCGCGATCCCGATGCATTTTTCCGCCTCGTCCCGGTTCCCTTCCATCGGCTTTTCTTTCCGCCGCCTCCGCCCGCCGCAGCGCAGAGAAAAGGGGCCTGACGGGGCCAGAGCGGCGGGGCCAGCCGGACGGGCGCCGAGAGAACCGGGCGCCGGGGCTGACTCGGCGGCGGCGGCGGCTTCGCTCGCACGGCCTTAAGGAAGGCTCACTTTAGGCCGCTGCCGCCGGCGCTCCTCCGGTACATCGTTCTCCCTTCGCCAGGACCCGTTGCCCCGCAGACGTCGTGGCCTGAGACCCCGAAGCGTCTGGGCCGACAAATAGCAGAGCCGCTACTGCTCCTCTCGCTTCCGGGAAGCTCTGCAGCCGGTAGCGGAGCGGTCTTTGCGCACGCGCCGGGGCTGCCTGGATTAAAATGCCGGTTCTGCGCGCTGCTCGGTCGGTTTCACACAAGAGACACGGCAGCGCGCGGACCACCACGCAGTTACTTAGACAGCCGGACAGCCCTGCTCCGTTTGCCAGGCGCCCGGAGTTTTAACTAAGTCCGCTTTTAAAAGGTTTCACCGGTTCAATTTCTATTTTATTTGCGTATTCTTAGTAGACGACTAGCAGACTGTCATTTTTACAATTCATTTTGGTCTTGAGGTATTTACAAGCTGCCTTGAATTTGGTCTTACTAGCAGTATTAAGAGGGTGCTACTACCCAAACTTCATTTTTCACCTTCTCATAAGTATCTCCAGAACTATTCCAGATGCTTGAAACAAGATAGGAAATACTAGGGAGCAACTTCAAGCAGTTATCATTCTTCATGTTTCAGGGATCATAGTCCAGTTGTTAAATTAGTAAATAGTCCCATTAAATTAGTAAATATTAAGGGCCATTATGAACAACTCCCATCACCCAAAGACAAAATTAATATGGCTGATACATCCTTTACTATTTTTTTGGCAAGGCAGTTGGCATTAACAAACCATGTCTAGCATTACAAGACCCGACTCACTGCATGCAACTCAGTGCTTTCCCACATTACAGTACTGTATGCTGAAATCAAAGCTGTTTGCTTCTTTGTCAAGTAAGGTCACAAAAGTATTTTTCAGTAACTTTATTTGTACATTACAGATGATGCCCACTAGAACAGGTAAGTAATACTTGTTTATTTTTCCAACTCATTAATTGGGGGTCAATACAACCATCATGGTTAAAAATCTTTCAGCAACTTAATCTAAACTAATTGATGCTCTATAGAAATACTTAAGATTTATGATTTGGTTTTAATTTAATAAACTTAGAATGTACATTTTTCTGTAAACAAATTAATGATCTATTATGACATACAGGGTTGACAAGGCAGAAATACAGTAAATTCAAGTAATATAGTCCCTCTTCCCAGGAAACTCAGGTCACGAAATGTCAGGTTTTTTTGAAAGTATACATTCTAAGGCATGTATTTTTAGGTGAGTGAAGAAAGGGAGAGGACAGTCTTATGCTGAGTATATTAAATTCAATTGGAAGTTTCAATTTTAGTATACAGGGAACTGGATGGAATTGTCTAAACAATGCTTATTTCAACTGGTAGCTGAAGCAATGCAGCTGCAAGTACTGAAGATTAAACACAAGAAGGCACAGCATGAACAGTACCCCAGGTCAGACGTGGCATACAAGTCACAATGCTTAGCTTTACACATTAAACCAAAACCATGTCATATGGCTTAATGTGATTCCTTTGGCAGTGATTGGTCTTGGAACAGTTTTGCAAGGGTTTTAATCTATATGTGTGCTAGCACAGTGCATGCATGTTAGCACTCAGTAAGATTAGCAGCTTCCATGAAATGGGGACCAAATAGTTAAACAATATAAATACATAGCTTACTGTAAAGTACCTTTCAAGAACTTGACCTAACTAATCATACACATTTTCAGCAACTTAAAAATGGTTCAAACATACTGCCTTAAAGCAATCCATTCATTTAACTCCTTCACCAGACTTAAGGTTCTGTACAAAGACATAAGACAATGCTGATATTTCTCTTTTGGAACTTTTTGTTCTTAACTACAAGAGTGACATCAAAGCTTTATAATTCAAGTTTTTATAATTTCATTTAATTAGCAATGCTGATGTCCAAATCTGTTTTAAATTTTATAGTATAATTGAATAAATGTACTCAATGCATTAAAAATTACAGATTAGCAACAATGTCAACAATCCCATTAAAATCCAACATATCTAAAACAGTCAAGAACCACTACAGACAATAGCTTCTCTGAAGCCATGTAACACTTAAATAAGATTAAGACTTCAACGCAGAATTTTGGTTAGAAAGCTTGATGGGCTCAATCTTCAAGATTAAAGAAAGGCAAAATTGTATTTCACAGATGAAGTCCATTGGAAATCCACTAACAATGGACAACATAGCTTTTTGAAAGTTCTAATAAGTAATCCTTTAAACTGTTTTTTGTTGACCTTTTTTTCCAATGAGAGATTTATGAATATGTGGAATTACACCTGAAAGAAAAAAAAAGGAAAGGTTTATTCAAGTCAGGTGACAGAAGCACAAAATCATTAAAGCATCACCAACTAGAGATGCCACAAAATAGTAAAATTAGCACATACCTCCACCAGCGATTGTTGCTTTGATTAATGAATCCAGTTCTTCATCACCTCTTATTGCAAGCTGCAAATGACGAGGAGTAATTCGCTTTACCTTCAAATCTTTAGATGCGTTCCCTGCCAGCTCAAGAACCTTATAGAGATGAAAACAAGACAAATCACTAATAGAAGAGCATCCCATTTAAAATGTCAAACAACCATGCCTTCATTGAGGGTACAATGACCTATGGAGAGGTTAAGGAAGCTGGTCCCCACAAATCATGTCTTGACAGTCCATCTTCCTAGAACATATCAGAAATGCTGGAAAAGAACTTGGAGAGTGGCACACTCCCCCTTGAGCTATGGTAATGCAATAAGGCAATCGGTCCACAGCATAACATATGAACGTGCAGAACATCCTATGGAACAGTGATTTTCAGGTAATGCATGCCACACTGAAAAATATATTTTGGGTGTTTTGTTCTATGTGCGCACACAAACACAAACCAACTATGGCTGCTTTGCTTTGGGCAAGAGTTATTTCAGGTAGTAAAGAATGGGAAAAGCTGATGTTAGTGATTGCAGAAAGAAATAGAAGTTCAGGAACAGAAGGGTCAGAGAATATGTTGCAGTGGGAGCTGTTGATACTAGAGTTACCATCTTGTATTTTTTAAACTAAAGTTTTGCATAACCAAAACATTTAAAGTTTTCGTTCTGCAAACTGGCTGATCGTGAACAATTTGGCACAAACCCAAAATGTGAGGTCCAAAAGTGATAGTGTTAGCCATCATCATACAACTATACAGATCATAATCTTGAGTGCTTGCTGTCTCTATTTCAATTTGTAAATTGGTAGACAAACTGCATCTGAATTTTAATAGCCAACATCAACAGCTTATGCTCAGTTACTGCGCTATACTTTGGGAGTTCACATACCATAGCGTTTTTCAGTCCTCTTTTGTATTTCAATTTGGGATTTATTTTTTGTTTTCCCCACTGAATTTTTTCCTTTATTACTTCAAGATATATCAGCTATGCTAAGAGAAAAATTCTTAGGGACCTTTGAAACTATTTGTTTTTATTTGCATCGCTTTATATTGCTTGCAAACTTCTCTAGGATAACTATAGCTTGTCTTTTGGAACACAAAAATTGAGTAGGAAAGAAATCTAGTAAATACTTGAAATCTAGTAAGTACTTGAGAAAAAAGATAAAATACAACATCCTATAATGTAAAATGCTTTTACCCCAACCAACTCTCACCTCAGCTGTGAGGTACTCTAAGATAGCAGCACTATACACAGCAGCTGTAGCCCCCACACGTCCATGACTTGTTGTCCTTGATTTCAGGTGCCGGTGAATACGACCAACAGGAAACTGTACGCACAGAAGAAAAAAAAGCTCAACACCTAAATGCAGTATTTATACCACTTTCAATTGTACCAAAATACTTGTTTCAAATCTATGTAGTTTTTTAAATAAAAAAAAAAACAGCAACTAGTTAAGCTCTAAAAGGATTAGTCAATATTTTAACTTCCTCTCTTTTCCAGAAAATGCAAAATGTATTGACTGTAAAAGACAGATGACCTAAACCAGGGGTCTCCAACTTGGGCAACTTTAAGTCTGGAGGACTTCAACTCCCAGAATTCCCCAGCCAGACTTAAAGTTGTCCAGGTTGGAGACCCCTGACCTAAACTCTTAAGGCGCCTACCCACCTGTAAACCGGCTCTCTGTGACCGGGATACTGTCTTGGTTTTCGTCTTTCCGGAGTCCTTCCCAGCTTTTCCTCCAGCCTGAGGAGGAAGAAAGAAAATCACTTTTACACGAAAAACGCTAGCCCCCTAACTAAGCAGCCCTTTTCTAGCACCGACCATCCTTGCAAAAGACCCAAGATGCGAATCACGCGGCTGTGAATCCTCGGAAATTTAAATCGAGAGCCTCGCCAAGCGCGCGGAGACGAGACATGCGCGTGGACCACAATCACGCTGGACGTCCCCGTTCCTCCCCCCCCCGCCCCCGCCGAAATAGCCGCCGCGCACGCGCCCACCGCCCTCCCTAGCCCGGCTATGAGCGCATGCGCCTCAAGAACTATAAAACGCTCGACCACCGCAGTAGGGTGCACCGTGTGTGTATGTGTGTGTGCGCGCGCGGGTGTGACCGCGCCCTCCTTGCTTTCCCCCCACCCCCATCCCAATTCTTTCGAGTATGAATTCTGTTGGGAGTTTACGGATACGTACAAGGCCCCCATAACGGCTGTCTCGCTTCTGAAAAGGGCGCCCTTGAGGGAGAAGAATCCGCCAGCTCAGCCGGGCGCCCGCTCCCTCCCCCCTCCACCCCCCGCGCTTCCTTCCTTCCCAATTCTTTCTTTTAGCCGCATCTTACCATCTTCAATGAGGGTCCGTCCGCCCGCGGGAGGAGAAACGAAGAGAATCGTTTAGGCCGGATCGAAGAAAGACTACTTTTCGGTATTTCGATTAACCGCCGCTGCTATTTTGCGACGGCTCCAGTTCAAAACTGCACCCTCTCCCGCCTTCCACAAGCCCTTTATACCCGTCTGTAACGTCTCAACATCCGGGAACCCTGCTCTCCAGCCCAGCCAATCGCCACCAAGGGGCGGTTCTCCCTGCGCTCTCCGTCGACCAATAGGAAATGAGAGGGGGAATAAAAAAAAGAAAGAACCGACGGACTGTTAACTGTTCGGAGAAACTCGTGCGGAATCGCCGCTTTGTGAGGTCCGCCTCTTTTCCAGTCCCTCGCTGCTCGGTTTCTTATTAGAGAGGATGAACAGCCGTGGCAAGGCGGGTTGGGTTTAGCCAGGCCTCGAATAGCAGATTAATAGAATTGGAAGGCACCTTGATCCCAACCGCCTGCTCAAGCAGGAGATCCTGTGCCATTCCAGGCAAATGTTGTCCTGTCTTTTCTTTGAAAACCTGCAATGATGGGGCAACCCACAGCTTCTGGAGGCAAGCCGTTCCACTGATCAGTTGTTCTTAGTGTCAGCAAACTTCTTAGTTCTAGTTAAGATCTCTCTTTTTAAGTTTAAGTCTAAGTTTACATCTGGTACTTCTTGTCCTCTGACTTTTAAGGTTCATTGCAGCCCGGGAAGCTTCCCTCTTTTGTTTTTAATCAACAAAACATAAATGGCATGCTTCTTTTACTCCCTTTCTTTTCTCTTTTTGTAAAAAGTCCTCCTTCACCATCAAGGAAAATGACACAATTTTAAGTACAGGTATCTGGTGGGGGATGTAAAAACCGAATTTTGTGAGCATCAAATTGCATTTGTAAAATAACCAAACCTGAGAAACTCACTCTTGAAAAAAGCAAATCATACTGAAAATACACCCAATTCTTTTAAAATATGTTTAACTTTTCAATTTTAAAATCAATGCTGTAAACATTGACTCCTGTAGGAAGGCCTCCCTTCCCCATATTAAAATATTCTTTATTAATATTAAAAAGAGTCAGGATAGAATATTTTCCCAAAGGAGAAATGGAGAAAAATCTTAACAAAGGAAAAATGCAGCCCCAGTATTCCTTGTCATAGGAAAACAGCTTCAGAGTAAGAAAACTTGGAAGAGCCTGACCTTTAGGAATGCAAACTTTGTATCCATTCAGAAAGACTGGGCCAATCTATTCATAAAACACTTTCAGTCACAAGCTATAACCTTCAAGTGGGAGCTGATGGGATTAAGAATGTATATTCCACAATCCAAATTCTAACGATAGGACATGACCTTTAGGACATAATAGGATTAACCCACCACCATTGAAATAGTAAAAGACACAAGGCTCACTAGATTGCACAGCCCCCTGGAGCATGTCAAAAAAAAAAAAACCCAGAACCCTACAAAGATCCATCCACTCATGCAGCCATTTTGTCAGCCACCTCAGAAACATGCTGCTGTCATTGAAGTTTCTGGAAACCAAATAAACTGAGATCTTGTTTTCTTGTAGCCAACCTCCATTGATTTTTTTTTTCTTCTCCTGCCTTGGCATTGGACTGGATTTTCCCCAATATTCCTTTTAAAATTTGCATGCCCTACAAGACTAAATTAAAACAGGGTTGGGTCATGTATGAATCAGTATGTCTTGGGAAACCCATCCTATATGCTTACACAATACTGGTGAACAACAAGTGTATGCTAGTCCAGGTTTCAGTTTTTTTTCTCAGAAGATAAATTACATCTGGAGCTGAGTTTGCATGACATACACTAGCCAGTAGCCATTTTGTATGTTTGCACAAATCCAGTCTATGTACATTAATTAGTTGCTGTATGTTAGTGGCTGTATACTCAGTGTAGTGCAGTAAAAATAGATTGAAGGTGATTAGTTTAGAGCCTCTTTTAAAAATATATTGAGCATTCAAGTAACTAGATATAGTCATTAACTTTAGCTTTTCTTTCTCTTGAAAAGGAAACTTTATTATGCTTGTTTGTTAGTACCATCTTTCAAGAATTCATAATATATATTGCACTCCCTGTTTCCATTTTTTGCCACAAGAACAAAACCATGAAGTATCTTTAGCTGAAAGAGTATGCCAAAGTCATCCAGTGTGCTTCCATGACAAATGATAGACATGAACCTGGGGGTCTCCCTACACTTAGACTAGTGCCTTAATCACTTCACAACACTATGTCTTAGCACTGCTTTGTGTAAGGAAGGTTATACCTCAATTGTAGATTAATACACTTTGTGGCTAGAAAGATTCGTGTACAGCATATGAGGTTTTAGATAGAATCCAAAATGTCTCCTAGACAGCTGTGGCAAATCAGAGTTTATCTATTTAACAGTCTATTTTATTCAGCCTAAAGTCCGCTGAACCTCATTTCTCATTCTAGCCATTTACACTCTCAGTATAGCTTGAAGGCACTTGATTGAGAAGATTGGTTTTTGCATATGACAATTTTCTACCATCTCTCTAAACTTATGATAAAAGCAAAGAAATTTAAATAATAAGTACAGGTACGTTTATAAGGAAATATATCATTGTCTTAGCAGGTGCAGCATCTGGCTGACTTTGGGCCTGGAATCTAAGCAGAGTCAGACATGATAGGAGACCACTAGAAAATATCAGGGCTGTAAGATATCCCAAAGGAGAACAATGACAAGCCATCTTTTCTTTGGTACCAAGAAAAATACAAGTATGTTCAGTTGTAATCCAGTAAACTGGGAAGGAAGGTGCAAGTGTGAGAAAAAGAAACCAACTAATCCAGGGTGGTTAAGATAATAAACTGAGGTAGTAAGGTTAATAAAATGAAGCAAAGGAAGAGACCAATTTGCCCAACCATCATAGAGGGAAGGGAAGGATGGGTAGTAAATAAAGAAGAGCCACTATTGTTTGAAGAGGAAGGGACAAAGAGGGACAGGAAATCATAGTGCTTAAAGTAGACAAGTAGTCTATGTAGACCACCTACCATTTTGTTAGATACAGAGACGAGATAGCTGTTCAACATTTCTATAGTATCTTAAGATCTCCAGTAATGAAATCTCACAAGCAACAAGAAACTCAACATTTACACCAATAACAGGCACTATCACAGGCCCCAATAACTTCACATCCAAAATTAAAGATGCCTTCTCATATTCTTCCTTTAATGTAATATATGCCATTGTTTGCCAGCAATTCTCTCTGGATTCTAGTAGGATTAACAGGACAGGCATTCTCAAAAGAATTAATGGACACAAATTTTACATCAAATTTCAAAAAAAGGACAAAGTAAAATCAAAGCATTATGACTTCCAAGATGTTCCATTACTGATTTCAATTGAGCAAATAATAAAGAAATTTTACCAGCACAATCAAAGGAAAAGTTGCCTAATTTAAATACATCAAAAGGTTTTAGACTTATTTAAACAATGAGTGTTTAATACATTCAAGTTGTTAAATTTCATTCCAGTTCACAAATGTGTATGCTTTTGAATAAGATTTATTAGTCTGAAGAATGCTAGTCTGATTTTTGGCTACCCACTAGGTAATTGATTCAGTTATTGAATTGTTCTTATCAAGAAGTTCTATTATTCAACTGGAAGTGAACTATAGTGCTAGAATATATAAGAACAATATTTTAAAATTTCAAGGTTGGTCTTGCATATAGAAGATTTGAAGACATTTTTTTATTTTTTAAAATTTTTTTTTGTAATTGAATATTTTACATTTTTAAAACCAAAAACATAATAGAAAAAGACAAGAAAAAAGAAAAAAAAAGAACATACACATACACCAAACAGTAAAATACAAAACATAAATAACGACATTATATAATATTTAACAACTTTCTGCATCGACTATTATCTTTACTTTTTGAAGACATTTTAATTTTTTCATGCTAGGTTGTAAAAGAGCAGTGTATTAACTGAAAAAACAAATACTTGGCTGCCAAATACTTACAATATATATTGGTGCTTGTACTGATTTTAATTTATTTTATAATTGTTCACTGCTCAGAGTTGCTTGTCTGAGAATAGCTGGCTATGAAAATTGAAAATATAAGTAAAAAAATAAAAAGTGGATAACTATGGTCTTAAATATCCTTTAGTGCTTCCCCAAAATGTCCAAGACTCTGAAAGTATATGGGAATAACTAATACTTAGATTTCACTTTTAATTTGGTGTAGCAATGCAATTAGAACCATTGTGTATTGCACATATACGCTTATTAGAACTTTAATGGAATGGCTATTATTCTAATTCAAGCCAAAGAAAAGCTTGCTTTTATCTTGATGGAAAACTGTACATTTCTTTAAAATAGTTCACATCTTTTTTTTTCATTGATATCTAATTAGTTACCATTTGATTGATTGCCTGGTATTTACTAAGAAATCAGAGTAAAGCTGAAAAACGTCTCACAGAAACTTCTTTGCTTTAATAAATGAGGATACGTGAGAAGTTTGCTGAAAACAAGATTATCTCCCTTGTTGTACAGGACAGTTTGATTATGCCCATCATTTTGCATTTATCTCAAGCAAGCATCCCCTGACAAATTTCCCAAAATCCAGAAAGTTTTATTTCCCAGGAAAAAAATGTATAGGAATCTTGTTTGCTGGAAAGAGGGAAGCGATGAATCTGGTGTTTCTTTTTTGTCCACCTTGATGAACGCTATATTTTATTTTTCTTGCTGGCTATAAATCAGAGCAAGAAGCGTTGCTAAGAAAAAAGAGCAGGGATTGGATATAAAGTCTGAATGGGAGCTACAGGAGGAGGATGAGACAGGCAGTGCTTCACTGGAGTAAAAAGCTGGCTAATAATAAGCATGCGAGAGCAGGGAGGAACATGAAATCAGCAACAGTACAGCGGAAGCAGACAACAGGGAGCCAGGCAGGTCCTCGAGGGATCAATGAAGCTAACCTTGCCCAGAGGGTTAAGAAACCTTCACCTTCTAAGTGGAACAAATGGGAGGTGAGTGACTTTTGTTGGGATTTGAGGTTGTGGTGGATATTATAGGGAAAGCTCTTTGTCCAAAGCCACCTGTAACTTTACACTTTTATTATTTTATTATTAACTGGATTCCATTTAGAGAAAT